TAGGTTTAAATATATATTTTTTTATTATTCAAACAGAGCCTCACTCTGTCGCCCAGGCAGGAGTACAGTGGCATGATCTCGGTTCACTGCAGTCTCCGCTGCCCTAGTTCAAATGATTCTCATGCCTCAGCCTCCCAAGTACTTGGGACTACAGGCATGTACCGCCACACACAGCTAACTTTTTTAGTACTTTTTTTAGTAGAGACCGGGTTTTGCATTGTTGAAACCCCATCACTACTGGTCTCACACTCCTGACCTCAGGTGATTTGCCTGCCCCAGCCTCCTAAAGTGCTGGGATTACAGGCGTGAGCCAACACGCCCTGGAAGTGTAAATCTTGGAATGAAATAAGATAAATCATATATATATATAATTTTTTATTGCACTTTAGATTATGGGGTACATGTGCAAAAGATGCAGGATTGTTGCATAGGTGCATACATGGCAATGTGGTTTGCTGCCTTCATCCCCTCGTCACCTATATCTGGCATTTCTTCCCATGTTATCCCTCCCCAACTTCCCTACTCCCCCACTGTTCCTCCCATATTCCCCCTCAACAGACCCCAGTGTGTAATGCTCCCCTCCCTGTGCCTATGTGTTCTCATTGTTCAACACCTGCCTATGAGTGAGAACATGCGGTGTTTGTTTTTCTGTTCCTGAGTCAATTTGCTGAGAATGATGGTTTCCAGATTCATCCATTTCCCCACAAAGGACACAAACTCATCGTTTTTGATGGCTGCATAGTATTCCATAGTGTACATGTGCCACATTTTCCTTGTCCAGTCTATCATTGATGGGCATTTGGGTTGGTTCCAGGTCTTTGCTATTGTAAGCAGTGCCTCAATGAACATACATGTGCATGTGTCTTTATAATGGAACAATTTATAATGCTTTGGATATATACCAAGTAATGGGATTGCTGGGTCAAATGGAATTTCTATTTCTGGATCCTTGAGGAATCACCACACTGTCTTCCACAATAGTTGAACTAATTTACACTCCCACCAACAGTGTAAAAGTGTTCCTATTTCTTCACATCCTCTCTAGCATCTGTTGTCTCCAGATTTTTTAATGATTGCCATTCTAACTGGCATGAGATGGTATCTAAATGTGGTGTTGATTTGCATTTCTCTAATGACCAGTGATGATGAGCAGTTTTTCATATGTTTGTTGGCCTCATGTATGTCTTCTTTTGAAAAGTGTCTGTTCGTGTCCTTCTCCCACTTTTGAATGGGTTTGTTTTTTTCTTGTAAATCTGTTTTAGTTCTTTGTAGATTCTGGATATTAGCCCTTTGTCAGATGGGTAGACTGCAAAAATATTTTCCCTTTCTGTTGGTTGCCGGTTCGCTCTCATGATTGTTTCTTTTGCTGTCCAGAAGCTCTGGAGTTTAATTGGATCCCATTTGTCTATTTTGGCTTTTTTTGCCAATGCTTTTGGTGTTTTGGTCATGAAATCTTTCCCTATGCCTGTGTCCTGAATGGTTTTGCCTTGGTTTTCTTCTAGAGTTTTTATGGTGTTAGGCCTTATGTTTAAGTCTTTAACCTATCTGGAGTCAATTTTAGTGTAAGGTGTCAGGAAGGGGTCCAGTTTCTGCTTTCTGCACATGGCTAGCCAGTCTTCCCAACACCATTTATTAAACAGGGAATCCTTTCCCCATTGCTTGTTTTTGTCAGGTTTGTCAAAGAGCAGCTGGTTGTAGGTGTGTGGTGTTGCCTCTGAGGCCTCTGTTCTGTTCCATTGGTCTATATCTCTGTTTTAGCACCAGTACCATGCTGTTTTGATTACTGTAGCCTTGTAGTATAGTTTGAAGTCAGGTAGCATAATGCCACCAGCTTTGTTCTTTTTGCTTAGAATTGTCTTGGCTATGCAGGCTGTTTTGGTTCCATATGAAGTTTAAGGTGACTTTTTCCAGTTCTGTGAAGAGGGCTATAGGTAGCTTGATGAGGATAGCGTTGAATCTATAAATTACTTTGGGCAGTATGGCTATTTTCACAATATTGATTCTTTCTAACCATGAGCATGGAATGTTTCTTCATCTGTTTGTGTCCTCTCTTATTTCCTTGAGCAGTGGTTTGCAATTCTCCTTGAAGAGGTCCTTTACATCGTTTGTTAGTTGTATTCCTAGGTATTTTGTTCTCTTTGTAGCAATTGTGAATGGCAGTTCATTCTTTATTAGGTTCTCTTTTAGTCTGTTATTGGTGTCTAGGAATGCTTGTGACTTCTGCAAATTGATTTTGTGTCCTGAGACTTTGCTAAAGTTGCTTATCAGTTTAAGGAGATTTGGGCTGAGATGATGGAGTCTTCTAAATATACAGTCATGTCATCTGCAAATAGAGACAATTTATTTGACTTTCTCCTTCCTAATTGAATACCCTCTATTTCTTTTCCTTGCCTGATTGCTCTGGCTAGAACTTTCAAATCTCTCAGCAATTGCTTGTTCATAAAGGATTTTATTTCTCCGTCACTTATGAGGCTTAGTTTGGCAGGATATGAAATTCTAGATTGCAAGTCGTTTTCTTTACGGATGTTGAATATTGGCCCCCACTCTCTTCTAGCTTGTAGAATTTCTGCTGAGAGATCCACTGTGAGTCTGATCGGCTTCCCATAGTGGGTATCCCGACCTTTCTCTCTGGCTTCCCTTAGCATTTTTTCCTTCATTTCAACCCTGGTGAATCTGAGGATTATGTTCCTTGGGCTTGCTCTTGTTGAGGAATATCTTTATGGTATTCTCTGTATTTCCTAGACTTCAGTACTGGCTGCCTTGCTAGGTTGGGACGTTCTCCTGGATAATATCCTGAAGAGTGTTTTCCAGCTTGGATGCATTCTCTCCATCGCATTCAGATACACCTGTCAAATGTAGATTAGTTCTTTTTACATAATCCCATATTTCTTGGAGGCTTTGTTCATTTACTTTACCTCTTTTTTCTCTAATCTTACCTTCTAATTTTATTTCATTGAGTTGATCTTTGACCTCTGATATCCTTTCTTCTGCTTGGTCAATTCGGCTATTGAAACTTGTATATGCTTCGCGAAGTTCTTGTGTCGTTTTTCAGCTCCATCAATTCAATTATATTCTTCTCTAAGCTGTTTGTTTTCATTAACATTTTGTCAAACCTGTTTTCAAGATTCTTCAGTTTTTTTGCATTGGGTTAGAACATGTTCTTTTAATTCAGAGAAGTTTGTTATTACCCACCTTCTGAACCCTGTTTCTGTCAATTCTTCAAGCTCCTTCTCCATCCAGCTTTGTTCCTTTGCTGGTGATGAGTTGTGATCCCTTGGAGGAGGAGAGGTATTCTTGTTTTTGGTGTTTTCATCCTTTATGTGCTGGTTTCCTCCCATCTTTGTGGATTTACCTACCCGTGGTCTTTGTAGTTCGTGACCTTTGGATGGGGTCTCTGAGTAGGATGCCCTTTTTGTTGATGATGAAATTATTTCTTTCTGTTTTTTAGTTTTCCTTCTAACTGTCAGGCCCCTCTGCTGTAGGATTGCTGGAGGTCTACTCCAGACCCTCCTTGCCTGGGGATCACCTGTGGCCACTGCAGAACAGTAAGGGTTGCTCCATTTCTTCTTCTGTTATCTTCCAGAAGGATGCCTGCCAGATATTAGCCTGGGCTCTCCTTTATGAAGTGTCTCTTTGGTTATACGGGGGTCGAGGAGTTGCTTGAGGAGACAGTCTGTCCCTTATAGGAGCTCAGGTGCTGAGCTGTGAGCTCCGTTGTTCTGTTCAGAGCTGCTGGGCAGGTACGTTTATGTCTGCTGAAGCAGAACTCATAACTGCCTTTTTTTCCCAGACACTCTGTATGGGACGGTGGGACTTTATGTATAAGTTTCTTACATGCTATTGCCTTTTTTTGGAGCTGCTCTGCCCAGCAAGGAGGTAGCCTAGTCACAGTCTGCCAGCAGAGGTGTTGCTGAGCTGCCGTCGGTTCTGCCAGCTGCTGTGTAAAGTTCCTTGCGGTTTTGTTTATGGAGGTATAGTTAGAACTGCCTCAGTAATGGCAGTCTGCCTCAGTAGTCATGGACTGCCTCAGTAATATCAGATGCCCTTCCCCCAACAGAGCTATACTGTCCCCGGTCCAGCGCTTGCTGCGAAACTCTCAATCCAGAGCATTTCAGATTGCTGGTCTTTGTGGAGGTGGGACCCGCAGAGCCAGTTCACCTGTCTCCCTGTTTCAGTCCCCTTTTTTTCAGTTGAATAGGCAGCTCTGCTGCCCAGGTGTTTCAGGCGCCAGTTGAAAGGGCTGCCCATATTTGTGTGAGTTTTTGTGTGGAGACCCGCTGCGCCATCTGCTGTGCTGGTAACTCCTGGTGCTTTTCAGCCCAGGAATCTCCCGTTCTGTGGGCAGTGAACGTTTGTTTGGAAATGCAATGTCACTCACCCTCTGCGTTGTTCTCGCTGGGAACTGCACTCCAGAGCTGTTCCTATTTGGCCATCTTCGAGGTGGAGATCATGGTCCCCAGCTACAGGCAGGAGCCGCAGGGCAGGGGGTTGGCAGCAGTTCACGTGGGGCCACCAGGTGGCTCCTGCAGTCAGGGGGCAGTTGGTCCAGTAGTTTCGGATGCCCAGGCTTGGCGTGGCTCGCTGGAGAGCGACTAAGCATGAATGAGAGCAAACGTTCAGGGCTGTGCATGGCGCGTGTGAGTAAGCAAATGTTACCTTTTCATCGATAAATCTTAATTGAGTTGCTAGTGGACTTCACTATAACCTGAAACTTAGAAATCTTAGAATGAAATAAAGTTCTAAGGCTGATCTGGAGCTCCTGATCTTAGGTGAATCGCCTGCTCCAGCCTCTCAAAGTGCTGGGATTACAGGTGGTGAGCCACTGCACCTGGCAAGTATAAATCTTAGAATGAAATAAGGTAAATCTTAGTTTAGTTACTAGTAGCCTTCACTATAACCTGAAACTGTTGGTGAATTCAACAGTGTCTAAGATTAAAGTGTTGGTTTTGTTATATCTTTTAATGACTTAAAACTACTGAAGATTCATAATTGTTTTCTAGCTTAAAACTAGAGATCGATACATCAGTAGCCTGAAAAAGAAGTGCCAGAAGGAATCTGAACAAAACAAAGAAAAGCAGAGAAGAATTGAGACCCTGGAAAAGTACCTGGCTGATCTTCCAACTCTAGATGATGTGCAGAGTCAAAGTCTACAGGTAACATGAAGTTAAATTCTTGTCTTTAAATGACATGAAAACATGTTATTCTTAACTTTACTCTTTAGAAATTTGGCTAATTGGCCTGGCACAGTGGCTCATGCCTATAATCCTAGCACTTTGGGAGGCTGAGGCGGGTGGATCATGGGGTCAGGAGTTCAAGACCAGCCTGACTAACGTGGTGAAACCCTGTCTCTACTAAAAATACAAAAATTAGTTGGGTGTGGTGGCATTGTCTGTAATCCCCGTCACTCAGGAGGCTGAGGCAGGAGAATCGCTTGAACCTGGGTGGCGGAGGTCGCAGTGAGCCAAGATTGCACCACTGCGCTCCAGCCTGGGCAACAGAGTGAGAATCTGTCTCAAAAAAAGAAAAGAAAAGAAAAGAAATAAATTTGGCTAATTAGAAATTAAATCTATGTGTTTAGTTGCTGCTTTGGGGACTTAATTTTAATCAGAAAATTTGTTTATCTAAGCATGCATAGTAGATCTTTCTTGTCAGTTAATAAGTGATTACTTTTCTAATGGTCCTGTGTTGTAACTCTTATTTAACTACTGTAGAAGTTAGTTTCTAAACCAGTCTTACCAGCCACTACCCCATACACACACATGCACACACCCCCATTTCTGTCTTTTTCCAGCAGTCTGTAGGATTCACCAAGTCTCAAAAAGACCTTTTGTTGACTATGTTTCTAGATATTTATTTTCTTTATTCTTCTTAACCTTTATATATATTTTTTTTCTTATGCCTTGACCTGTGACCTCAATTTACTCTTCTGACTTCCTTTTTTTTTCTTAACAATACCTCAAGAGTCTTTCTCCTAACTCAGGTGAGCCCTACTCTCTTGAAACCTTGTTTATAAATCCACTAGATCTACTCTTCAGTCTTTTCCCAAAGTTTTTCTAAGCCATGGATTCTCAACCTTGGCACTATTGACACTTTGAGGCGGAAAATTTTCTGTTACAGGGGTCTGCCTTGAGCATTGAAGGGTGTACTTCTGCATCCACATATGTGGCCTCTACCCACTAAGTGCCAACTGCCCTGCTCCTTCTCCTTTCTCCCAAACCCAAAATGTCAACAGATATTTCCAAATGTCCTCTAGGGGTAAAATTACCCCCAGTTGAGAATCATTAGTCTAATCTATGGAGTGTCACTCTGCATTCTTTAAGACCTATGTAGCATTCTCTGTTTATTTTACATTTAATTTATAAGTTATAAAACTAAGAGAGATTAAAGTCAGGAAGGAACTTAAGGACTACAGAAGGTTGCATGAGCAGGAACAGAGGGCAATGGAAAATATGTAAGAAAATACCTTACATTCATTAGGGTGGCAATTAAGGGTCTTAAACAGATGTTTGTACACTCATGTTTATAACATGATTATTTACAATAGCCAAAAGGTGGAAGTAGCCCAAGTGTCCATGACCAGATAAATGAATAAACTAAAGGATTGTATATACATATAGTGGAATACTATTAGCCTCAACAAGGAAGGAAATTCTGACACATGCTATCATATGGATTAACCTGCAGGACATTTTGCAAAGTGAAATAAGCTTGTCATGAAATGACAAATACTGTATGATTCTACTTAATGAGATACCTTAAAATTCAGTCACAGAGACAGAAAGTAGAAAGTTGGTTACCAGGGAATGGGGGGAGGGATAGATGGGGAGTTGTTTAACAGATATAGAATTTCAATTTATGTGAGATGAGTTCTGGAGATTAGATACACAACAATGTCAATGTACTTAAACACAACTGAACTGTACACTATATTACAATTAAAAATAAAAATATTTAAAATGAGAATATTAACCTTTCTCTGTCTTCCACAAATTTCTAACCGCATTCTCTTCCTCGTAATTCCATTCCTCTAGGTGCCTTTCACACAGAGGAGGAGATGGAGTGTTAAACACTCTAGATAAAATAGTGCGATTTTTTTTTTTTTTTAGCTGCAAGTCTGTTAATCCTTGCCAACACAGTAACAATTTCTAATAGAAGCATATTTAATATTTCATGTATAACTGTAAAAAATTTCTCCTTAGCTGCAGATTCTAGAAGAAAAAAATAAGAATTTACAAGAGGCTTTGATAGATACAGAAAAAAAACTTGAAGAAATCAAAAACCAGTGTCAAGATAAAGAGACACAGTTAATATGCCAGAAAAAGAAAGAAAAGGAGTTAGTAACTACCGTTCAAAGGTAAGAAAATTTTCTGAATCCTTTTACATTATTTTGTTCATATTTTTCATAAAACATTTTACTTAAACTGAATTAATTTATAATTTGTATTTTATTCTCCTATGTTAAAGATGCACTACAGGATGCTCATCACTTATCCAAACTGCTTGTGACCAGGAATGTTTTAGGTTTCAGATTTTTTTTGGATTTTGCAGTATTCGCAAAGTACTTACCCACTGAGCATCTCTAATATGATAGTCCAAAATGTGAAATGCTCCAATGAGCATCTCCTTTGAGCATCAAGGAGATGCTCAAAAATTTTTGCTAAAAAATTTTGGATTTTGATGCATTTCAGATTTCAAGTTTTGTGGATTAGCGATGCTCAACATGTATTAAGAACCAGATGCATAATTTCTTTGAAACAGGTTGTCTCAGTTGTAATTTAACATTTTGAAGCAATGCATTGGTGTCTTGCCAAAAGTTTCAGTGAAAATAGTAAAAATAAAAACTCAAACAAAACAAAGACTGAAAATATTAATACAAACCCTTTATCTAATGGCTTATTTTAAAAAGAAAGTAAAAATTCTAAGTAACAAGGGGCCAGCAAAATACCCAAACTGTACTCCTTAGTGGAATATATTAAATTGAAATAATTGGCTCCTATTTCACTTTACTGCAAGTACGACAGTTTTGCCATATATCTTCCAGATTTACTTACATATCTTCCCCCATGGGAGTCAATTAATACAGTTATAATTATAATGAATATCATTTGCAAATTCAGTTTGTGTTTATTAAACCTGGAAATTAATACTGATCCCTGAAAAACCTAAGGAAATATTTTATATGTATAGACATGGATTTTCTGTTTTGCAAAACTTAAATCTTAACAGCTATAAATAGATAAAACTATCCTGAATAATAAAACAACAAAGCAACAGAAATGAAATGCAAGAAATACAATCTTCGTGCTTATATCAATTATACAATTCCATTTATTCTTTTAAATAAAAATTCATCTGATTCCATGTTAAATTCATGTTAATATTGCTTTACTAGTACTTTCAGTCTTAAATATGCCTTGTCCTACTTTTTTCCTTGGGTTTCAATGCAAAAAATTTCTGATTTCTGGGACAATTCAGTGTTCTGTGTTCCACATCTCAGTTCCAAAAAAAATCATATACCTTTAATTCTACTTCTCTGTCTGCTATTTTCTGTTTCTTGTTCTTAAATTTTCCTTTTTATAACTTTACATCTTATGCCCTGTTTTTTAGTGTCAAAACAGCTTCCCGATCTTCACTAATTCAACCATACAGCTTTTTCTTTCATCTTATTGATAAAATGAAGAGTCACTATGTCTGTTCTGTCATACAGAGCATTATTATAAATTTAAGCTGTGTTACTTTAAGAACAGAATTAGCAACACCTAAAAATAATTTGAATGTTACATTGTTCCACTGTGTGCTTTTACATATTAATATGATTGTATACTTTCTTTTTTATTTAGGCTTTATCTTTTATTAGGTTTTGTGGAAACACTGAGCCTGGTATTCTTGTTTTAGAAAGATTTAGTACAGTGCATCTCAGAAAACATTTTGCACTTTTAAATTTCATCTTGATACTATCAGAGATGATACCATCTCAGAAAATTTATCTTGATTTCAAATAAATATAAAGGATCAAAGGGGTGAGGATGATATCACAGTTTCCTCAGCTCTATAATATTTATTGAGTTCCAAAAGAACTTCAGATGTATATGTGACTATGAATATTTCTAAGCTTCCTGTTCTGTGAATACTTAAGAACTTTTGCAATATATAAATTAAATAAGAAAAGCTCCCTATTAGAAATAAAAATTTAAAAAGGTCGGTGAGTTCCTTAGTAATGCGATAGTAGGTACCATTTTTATTTAAGAGGTACTTTGCTTCTTGAATGAACATGTTATATAACCTAAAACTGTGTACATGAAAGAAAATGTATTGGGTATTTTGCCATGAAGAGAGTTCCTCTCTTCATAGCTGGCTCATTTTTTTTTTTTTTTATGTAAAAGACTTAAATATTTTTAATGCTTTTTGTTTCTCATGAAATGTCTGGAAGTAGTGTCTTGACACTCAATTGGTAAAACAAAACAAAAAACAAAAAAAACTCATTCTGAAATAGAAATAATTTGTTTTGTACTTTAGACTCAAAAAGGCAAATACTTTTATGACAATATTACACAACAGTACACTACATTGATAATATATACAAATGTCTTTGGTGCCATTATTTATAAACATATCTGAGGTGCTTATTGTACCATCTAGGACTGTCAGTTCTCTTTTCACAATCTAGATAGGGCATTTCTTCTTTTTTTTGAAAGACAAAGCATAGATTAGCCATAATTCTTGAAAAAAAATAAAAATAATGAAAATACTTTTTTTATTTTTTTCAAAACCTAACTAATAAGAAGTCTTCCTTTTAGAGTTCTGCAATGCTTGAGTATGATTACAAGCTAAAGTAGAGCTATTTTTGGTTTCTTGCTGCTATTAATTTGGTTTTGGTTTGGTAATTGTTGTCTAATGATGTGACTTCTTTTAACCAAACATTACTGTTCTTCCTTTCTAGCACCTTCCCCCTTCTTCCATTTTGTCTTTTTATTTTGAATCTGCAGAGAGTCTTACTTTTGTTGTTTCCTCTTCTAAAATGCAACTGTGTTCCATGGATAGCATAAGAAAGTGTTCTGTCAAGTTATAAAGAATGAAGAAGAACTCATGAACACAGAGAAGGAAACAGACATTAGGGCCTACTTGAAGGTGGAGGGTGGGAGGAGGGAGAGGAACAGAAAAAACAACTTGGTTAGTATAGCCTTAGTACCTGTGTGACAAAACAATCTGTACAGCAGACCCCCATGATACGAGTTTATCTGTGTAACAAACCAGCATGTGTACCCCCAAAACTAAAATAAAAGTTAAAGAAAAAAACAAAAAAAATGAAAGAGAAATGTAATTCTGCTGTTTTAGGCAACAGCTATCCTTACAAGCAAACTTTTGCTGAGCTTAGAATAAAGGACAAAAGATGCGTATCCATATTCTTAGGTTCCCTGCAACAATCATCTTAATCAAGGAATTCTGTTTTTAGAGGAAAAGGAAAGAACACGAGTTAGACTTCAGAGCTCAGATTGGGGTAGTGAAGGACTTCATTGGGGCCTAAGGATGTCACATAATGAACTCTGGACTCTGGTCTCAAATTTGCCATTTCTGAAAAGATGATCAGCCTCTAGCTAATTATGGACCCTTCTTGTATAAAATATAGATAACATTTTTTCATATACTGTCTGTGGGTCTTGATTATTGCTTGATTAAAAAGTATTATAGACCCTAAAAAAGGACATCACTTATGTTAAAATCATTACCAAAATCAGCAAATAGAGCTTATTTTCTTTATAATTGTCTTTTGAAACAGTTTGCAACAAAAAGTAGAAAGATGTCTTGAAGATGGAATCCGCCTTCCCATGTTAGATGCAAAACAGCTTCAGAATGAAAACGATAATCTCAGACAACAAAATGAGACTGCTAGTAAGGTCAGTAGATACCTTTGATAATAAACATGAAATCTGTTCTATGTAGATGTGTATATATAGATACATAATTTATAGCTTCTTTATGTGATTTATATTTTAATATTTAGTCGGTTATATGATTTTTTAGTTTGAATGTTTTTATTTGAAAGGAACATAGCAATTCAAACAAAATTAAATAACTGAAATAAAAGCCAAAACAAAAGGATTTCTTTTCCCTTCCTTAATTATTCAGTCTCAAAGTTATTATTAAAAATTGTATAAATTTGAGAAAAGTTTTATCAAGAACTCGAGGAAGCCTTTTGTAGTTTTATACATGTGTGATCCATATCATAGGGGTACTTTTAGTTTTTTAAAAAAGACCCTTTTAGAAAATAAATTTCTGTGCTATGTTTTCTTGAAATGTTGATACTTTTAAGAAACAATGCAAAAATTACTTGAATCAGATATTTTTATTTTCTTTGTTTTAGATAATAGACAGCCAACAAGATGAGATTGACAGAATGATTTTAGAAATTCAGGTAAGGAATATTTTGTGCTTATTTTAATTTAGCTATATTATATACTCTTAACTTTAAAACATGCATATATTGTATGGAAAGATAATATTTATAGCACTGAGGTAAAGTTGCAAATTCTTTAATATTAATCTTCCATTTTTTGCTGTTTGGTAAATTAATCCTTCAAAAAATTGTAAAGATTCATCAGTGAACAAATCACATCCCTGGCCATTCTAGTGGGAGGAATTGGAGAAAATGCAAAATCCGTCTAATGAATGCCAGATGCTATGAAAAAAGTTGCTGTTAAAAATGTTATTTAAGAAAAATTAAGTAGGCTAGAGAGTGCTACATTTGATAGAGTGGCTATGAAGTTTTTCCTGAAGAGGTGATATTTGAAGGGATCTGAATGAAGACATCCAGGGGAAAAGCATTCCAAGCAGAGGGAGCAACAAATGCCCTTCATGTACCTGATATGTTCTAAGACCAGCACAAAGTCTGCTAGCCTGGAGTGCGGGAAATGTCATGGAAAGCCAATGGACATCTTTTGCTGAAAAATGTTTAGCTTTATACCTCCTAATTTTACTGTTACTTTTAAAAATCAAAGTAAAAGTGGTAAATGATTTGTAGTTATATACAGTCTTCTTTGTCTTGTGGCTGTATTATTTATCAACAAATATATGAGCCTGATGGATTGATTGACAGAGGTTATAATCTTATATAATTTTGTATTCCTACAGACATAACTTCATTGTTTCACAAGCCATTAGAACTTCTAGATTGTTAGATTTCTTCAGCCATTGTTATGTGACTTATTCTGGGCCATAATTCAAGAATTTCTGTTTTACTTGGACACGTTTTCCAAGAAGTAAATCTAATACAAGTTATCTCAATCTAAATTAAGAGTAATCAACTCATGAAATTTGTCATTGAAACTTCAATGACTTGTAAGATTTTATTTATCACATACTATCACATTGTAGGTGTTCAGTATATACTTGCATTCATTGAAATGTACATTTTTCCCCCATTTGTGGAGGCATCTTACTGAAATTTACTCTTACATGTTAACCAAGTCTGTAGTCACATATAAATATGTCATGACAATATATAAATGAATATATACAAGAATATATAATTATAGGCCATACTGTTCTTGTTATTAAAATGTTTGAGCAAACACAATTCATTTATTTCTTCAAATTACGTATAGAACTGAAATAAAATTAATGAGATGAATTTATTACAAATATTTGGGCCTAGACACCATAATCACTAATTATGTTGTCTTATCTTTTGAAACAGTGGCTATCTTTTTTTGTTTTCTTTTCATTTTTGTTCTTAGCATCTCATTTGCCCATTCTGACCGTCAAGGTCTACAGATCTAGAGACATAGAGATCTATAGATATAGGTAACAGAGACAGACAATAAATGCTGATAGCTGGCCAATATGACTATATTTATGAGGATGGTATTTGAATAGCAAATTAGAGCTGCAGATGAATATGACTCACATAATGAGAAAATTCTTTACTTGTTTTAAACTCATGTTATTTTTTGGCCCCTCATCATTTAAAAAGACAGAATTTTTGTTTGTGTTTGGTCATTTTTGATGACCTTTCTATAAAACGTATATGCTCTATAAAACTTGAAAATACTGCTTATTCTGAAAATAGGAACACTGTTTCCCTGGCATTAGAAACACTGAAAAGAATACTTTGGGTGGAAAAAATATTGTTGCTTTCTATTGTGGTTAATGGACATAATTTGTGGGTGTATTATCAAGCTAATACATCTAGTAGAGCAATTCACTTCATTTCCTGGTTCTTTAAAGCTGCCTGATTTTTCCTCATCTGCTTACATAAAGAATGATCAGCCTGCCCCTATATAGATTATGATGTCCTTTCCATATGCTATAGCTCTGTTTTTGAATTTCTTCAAATATGTTCACCTAGCCAAAGTAACACAAAATACTATATAATTAAGGATAGCAGAGAGCCTCCCAATTATTTTTAATATAAATTATGCCTTTTGACTATCACTATAGTATTAATCTTATATAAGTTCTCACTGTCACTGTAGTTCGGATGTTCTTTCTTCTTCCACAGTGCTAAGATGTTGATCCATTTTAGAGTGTTCAGTAGGCAAACATAACTTGGTACTATTAGAATTTAATGTGTTACTGCATCATGTCCTTGCAAACTATTGAGAAGACCAAATTTGTTTGAAGTTCATTTGTCTTGATTTGGTGCACTACATTTCCTTGGGAACAAGCAAGTTTTTCTTACAGTTTAAAGTTACTCCCAAAAGAGAAAAATAAAATCTCAGACTATATACATTTTATGTCCAATTTATAGGAGATAAAAATAGGACATTGTTTCATATTTAAATGCTGTGTTCAAAATACAGCTATAGTTTAAATATTTTACACCAGAAGTCACACAAATACTTACCTGTTATAGGTGACTGGCATGTTTATTTTTTCACAGCTTTTGAAGTTGGAGAGAAATCAGTCTTCTACTAGTTATACTGTATTTGTTATTGAATATACAAAAAGTAATACTTCATGTAAAAGTATATGCTAATTTGGAAGTTGAGTGATATAAAAATACAGATTTATCTACTGTTTTGTTCAGCTCTCAAGGTGATATTGTTAACTGGCATGAATAACTTTGTTTACTCATTGACCTTTTAGAAATGTTGCCCTTCTTTTTATCCGTAAAACTAGTATAGCTAGCCTGGCTGCTTCTCCTACAGGTTTTTTCTTCTGTTAGTATACAGTATATAAAGACATTTTGCAGTAGAATGTTCCCTGTCAATTCCATGAACATATGGCTAGAGTCAGAATATGATTAAGTTCTTCACTGGGCATTACCTTCCTTCTTATATATTTCTCAAAAGCACATTTCACGTCCATAAGCCTTTTTCAGTGAGCTGTTGTCATTATAATCTTTGGCAGAGGACATATAGGTTTGTAATGTTTGCTTGTTTTCTCTGACATTAAAATGTTTACTAATTACAAGAACTTAGGCATTTAGATGGTCTTTCTGAATTGGCAGCTATCAATAGATAATCATAATACCTCACAAAAGACAGAATAATACATTAGAAGACATTGACTGTTTACTCAGTCATGGTTGGAACCAACAATCTCAAAACTGACAGTCTGTTCTATGTATAACACATTGAGATGTTCCCACAGCCTAGGAAAATTATATTCAAATTTTTAGTAAATCTCATAAATCCTTCATCTAGCAGATTTTCTCAGTAGAAATAGTGAGAAACGGATCATGTCAATGGAATGTCTCATAGGTAGAATATAACTTCTTTAAATATCAGTTGCTTTAATGTCTTCCCATTATCGCATGATGTTTATGTCCTATTATTTTGTTATCCAAATTGTGTTATGTCTTGAAATAGTTATTTTTCTAAAGTTTAATTTAAAAAACACTTACCTCTGTAAAATTGCCTATGATGAGTGAAAAACCAAAAGTATTCTTATCAGAAGTTAATACTAAATTTTGAAAAACCTACCAGCCAAATAATGCCTTCTATGAAAAGTAGCTTTAAAAAAATTTTTTTTTCACTGTAGTCTTTGTATTTGTAAAGAGAACAGTCTTTACTGTTCATGTAGATCTATTGTATGCATATTATAGTTGCATAATTAAGATATGTCAGAAAAAAATGCATAAAAGATGCATTTAACTTTTGAAAAATCAGTTACGTCAGGGTGGGGACTTGTACGAATGAAGACAGCTCATTTGAATCATGAAGGAATGTTCTTGGGCCGGTTTGCCCTATGAGTAGTCACCAAATCTATATGGATATTCACATTATTTGTAATACTTTTTAAGATATATATTTCTGGGCCCTATTGTGAACCTAAAGAATCAGTGTCTCTGGGATGAAGTTCGAATTATGTATTATTAAGTTCCCCAGGCAATCCCTAACTATATAGTCTGGCAGTAGAACTAGAGCATTTAGGAAGTGTTACAATCCTCAGCATGCTTAGTGAACCAAAGAGTGAGAACTAGATAGAAAGACTGAGGTTTAAATTTAAAAAACAAGTTTAGTTTCTGAGATTCTTAGGTGTCATCAAACACGTTTAACATATTTTGGTAGATCTCACTTATAAACCAGAAAATACATTTTTTTCCGGAAGCTAGAAGACAAGGAACTCAAGCAGATTGGGTTTTTTCTTTATAGTGTGCTAATTTTTAGTAACAGTTTTATTAAGATATAAGTCACTTACAATTCACCCACTTAAAGTGTGCAATTCAGTACTCTTTAATATATTCACAAATAAGTGGAACCAAGACCACAGTCAATTTTAGAACATTTCTATCTCAAATAGAAGCCTTATATCTTTTGTCACTTCCCTAAGCCCCCATCCACTTCTCCAGCCATCAGCAACCACCGATCTACTTCCCATCTTTATACATATACCTATTTTAAACATTTCATACAAATGTATATATGGTCTTTTGTGACTCTTGACCATATCCAGCTGTTAAGCTCCACCAATTGTCATCCAATCATTCTGTTGTTTTCAACAATGCCCTGCAGTATAAATTGCTTCACAAACTGATCCACTGTAGCTCTTTTGAAGGGATAGTTCATTAGGTTAGTGTTTGAGATTTGTTCTGACCTCAGGAGTATTCTTCCCAGCTATCTTACTGTTTCTTTTTGGGAAAGTAGTTAGTCTATGGATTTAGCCTACAGGGTCAATGGATCTAAAAGTATCCTGCCAACTGCCTTTCACCAAAACTTCCAATTTTTTGAGTGCTCGAAGCCTTGACCTTCACACTGTTGCAAATGAAGTCAATTCCTATAGAGAGACATTTGGAGCTTCTAGTTCTGTGGCCTACTTTTCTTTAGGCAAAATCTCTTAAGCTAGGCTAATTGGTGTGGGGACAATGAAAAGCTTCTGAATGATACCTCCACTCTAGTAGCTGAACACTCACTGGAGGGAGTTGGGGCAGCAGCTGTAGGTCTTTTTGACTTGCCTCTCCCCCATAGAAACAATGCCCCACAAGCTGGGGCAAGGATCAATGGTTCTGAACTCAATGTAAGCTTCCATCCCATAAGGGGATATGGGTAGAAGAAGGGTGCCTCTACCTATTGGTTGCACTTTCCTGAAACAGCCTTTGCTACAGGTAGCTATGAACAGGATGATAAATGTTGATGTCCTATCTTTTCTGGGAAGAGAGCTCTCTAACTGGGGGCTGGAAGGAGAGGGCGCCCTGTGTTATTGGCTGTACCAGTCTGGAGTAGAATTTCCATCCCAACGATGTGAGAAGGCAGAGATGGAGTTGAGTTTTGTTTCAGCTTTCCCCCCCCCAGAATCCTTTCATGAAGCAGAGTTTTGTTTCAAATACCAGTCTCTTACTCTTCTTACTGAGTTTCAATAGATTTTCTTGAGTAAATGTTTCTTCATTTGCTATATGCTCTTAGGACCATTTCCAGAAATTTTAAATTATAATATTCACCAATTTCATTGAGGGGTGGGTCTGTGGAGCTCTTCACGCTGTCATGCTAAAAGCAAAATTGTTCTTAAAGTTTTATCAAGTTACAACATGGTAACTAACTTAAGAAAGGAAGTTCAGCTGTACATTGTCTTAGAGTCTTAGAAACATAAAACCAAAAAAAGGGGTGCTTTTTAAAGATTTTTTCCCCACCACCAAAATAAACATCCTGCTATATGTTTCAGACTTCCTATTAATGGCAGCTCTGCCCTTTCATTGGTTCAGTCCAGGTATCCTAGACTTATCCTTGACTCCTCACTTACCTCACATTTGTCAGCAAATTCTTCTACCTTGAAAGTATGTCTAGAATCTGACCTCTTCTCCATTCCTCCTCCATTTCCACCCTGTTCCAAGCCATCTTCCTTTTGTTGGAAATAAGAGCTCGGAGTCACAAAGGAAACAAGCACTTAGACAAAAGATTTCTCAACAAGGCAAATTTACTTCTGCAGAAGGGTGCTGCTTGCCCTTCTGGCTGCTGTGAGAACACTCTGAATAAAGGAGGGAAGGGATTTTTATCCCTAACGCAGTTAGTCCCTGGCTTCTGTGTCCTGTCCCCATTGGCTGGAGACTGACCACACAGTCTAACCTAACCCAATTGGCTAGTATTTGAAATTGAATATGGCTAATTAGGCGGGAAGGGAGAGGTTGTTCATTAAGGCATGTTTGGGCATGTCAGGGTGCAGCGAAGTTGGGAAGGGTAGCTTCAGCAGAAGGAGCAGTTTACAGAATGGGTAGCTTAGGAAAGGGACAAGGAAGTTGATTTCAAGAATAAAGAACAAGGAAGTTGAAAGTTAAACCTCTGAAGAGGAACTTACTGTATCTGACACTTTCTCATCTGGATTATTTCTTTCTGCTTCTACCCTTGCCTGTGCTCAGCATACTCTCATTAGCTTAAGTGATCCTATTGAACAAAAATCAGATTACATCATGTCTCTGCTCAGAACTCTTCAGTGGATCCTCATTTTTTCCAGAATAAAAATTAGAGTTCTTATACTGATTTATGAGGCCCTATACAATCTGTTCTGCAGGCTGCCTTCCTTCTCTGACTCTTTCTCCTGCTATTCTCAGCCATCCTGGCTCTCTTACGTTTTCTCAAACACAGAAGACACCATCTGTCCCAGAACCTTGGTGCTGATAAACTCTCTGGGTATCTGTGGGACAAAATCTCTCACTTCCTTCAAGCCCTTGCTTACCTGAGATTTCAACCTCCTGACCTTTACTGTGCTCTGTTTGTTCTCCACAGCACTAGTCAAATTCTAATATATGATACTGTGTAACTTACATATTTACCTAGTAAAGTTCCACAAGGGCCAAGAATTTTGACTATTTTGTTCACTGGTGTATCACTCAATGCACAGAACAGTGTTTGGCAATGATTTTTGCTGAAAGAATGATTGCATGAAGGAATGTGCTTGTGAATTTCTTATATGGTATGCATGTTTATGTGTGTATATGTATATATGCAGTAAAAATGTTAACATAAATTTTCCTTCAAAATAATTCCTCTTAAATTGGGTTTGTGGATTATATAGAATCTGCTAACTAAGGCACACCTGGTTTTTCCTCATTTGAGCTATTTGTAAATGGGACATTTCTGGATACTTAACATCGAACAACAAATGTGCTTAAAACCACTTTTCAACTTCAAACATGATCATAATAAAGACCTTGTGGGTTAGTTCCTTAGCAGAATTTTAAAATGCCATGATTAAACTGAGAATTAAAGAGCTATTATAGGTGGTTGTAAATTAATTTTTAATTTTGTTAATCTCCATGTCTACTGAATGATAAACAGTTATTGTGAAATTCAAGAAGCTAAACACTTATTTCAGAAAATATGAGATATTTCATTTATGCATTGTAGAGTACTACCAGTTTGAGCAAGTATATTTTGAGATCCTAAGAGATTCAAAAAAATGCTTTGCAAAAAGTATTTGTAAAGTAACACACACTATTTATTCTTGATGGAATTTCTTTCTTGTTTTCTTTTAAACATATACTTCTTAATACAATTTAGGATACAGAAATAATTAATGTTTTAGGTGAAATGTTACTGTCAGACAACAGCACTCATACCTAGTATTATCCTAAAAACTGTACAGCACTTGGTCTTTTCAGGATAAGCCTAACTGCAATGTCTTTTACCTATTAAAGTGCTTCTTGATAACTACCTTAAACCCGAGCAACATATAAGAAATCTGATTTTCCTTTTTGTAATAAATGGTACTACTGCCAGACGTTTTCAGTTTTTCTGATGGAGAAGATTGCCTGTTTCTGCACTGATTAAAATCAGTCTTACATAGAGACATATTAGCCGGATTTATTAGCTAATTATTAGTCACATTCAACATGACTCTGAATTGGTAAAAATATAAAACATTCTTACCTTTTACAGAATTATATTCTGTTATAATGTATCACTATTATAATTATTCTGTTATATTAATTATATTGTGAAAACACCCCTCTTGGGTTTAATTTTTATTGTTAGAATGTGAGTTTGAGTAGTGTATCTGTGATGCCTTTCTTCTTGTGACTAATTCTAATAAACAGTCACAAATGTTGAGAATTTAGGTTGAATTTTGGATTCCAGCCAAATAATCTTGTCAGGCCGGAAAGCATAGCTCTTCAGCTAGGTGAATAAATCTCCATGTTCATTTAATCAAATAAGGTTTTGATTCAATCTAATGAAGTTACAAAGGAAATTTCAATTTTCAATTATGCACATATTCAGAGCATATTAACTTTGTGCTGTGAGATTCATTTTTGTGAAATATAGAGCAACTTTTCCCTGGAAGAAGATATAGAGTTTGATTCATTTCTATTCAACTTCTGAGTTACTAAGTGTAATTTTTTTTTCAGAGTTTAGCAGACAAATGAAATTTAAAAGCAACAAGTTTTATATGTTACCAATAAAACTGCTTTATATTTATAGTCTTATTTTAACCCATGGTGATAGCCATCTTCTCTCTTACTCCATCCAAAGATAATATGAGGAAAAAATCTTTAGAGTAGAATGTGTACTATTTAGGTGGTCAGCATACTGAAGCATTGTCAGAGTTGAGACTAAATACAGACCTGAAATAAAGTGATACCTCTCTTCTGGTCATATGTATATTGATTTTTGTGGTCTAATAAAAGGAAACTAGTTGATAGAAACACTTAGAATTCACTAATAACTACAGAATGTATGGCAGTTTTCTCTTTTACTATATAGGTGAAAAGTAAGACTAACCGAAGACTCTTAAAATGTCCTTTATGCTGCTTTGGTGTACTCAAAATATTGTCATGTCTAGATAATTTGCAATTTTATAAGGAGTAAGAAGGAGATTAGCTTATCAAATTCCCATAGTAGACCTTTGACCGGAGTTCACAGTGTATTCACTGCTGGAATACTGTACACTGAAAGAAAGGAGCTATGTTTCAAATGATAGAAAATAGAGATGATACAGTGATCTTATTGTCTTGCATCTCATTAACCATAAGCAAAATGTAAAACAAAAAAAGCATAGATTTGTTGCTAATACACTCCCAACATATATTAGTGAAATAAAAACTGTTTGTAATACAGCATTAAGTAGGAACTTCAGATTTGAATGTTTATACAAATTAAAAACTTCTTGGTAAAAATTATAATTAAAAGAATTCAAATGTATTCTGGAAAACTGGCATTTCTTTTTCTTTTTTATTTGTAGTAAGCCATTCTCTAATATGGATTAATTTAAAAATGAAGGCTTCATCTTCTAAGGGGATAGGGAGGAAAGAAGATCTAAAGTATTCAGAACCAACATTTCTGCTTATTTCTATTTGAGAGTTTTCTTTACATGTTAACCTGTTTTGCTTTCCAATTTTTTTTTTTAAATTCTAGTCTATGCAAGGAAAGCTTTCTAAAGAGAAAGTGACCACTCAAAAGATGATGGAAGAGCTGGAAAAGAAAGAAAGAAACCTACAGAGATTAACAAAAGCATTGCTTGAAGTGAGTAGAAGAAATTCAGTTTGCTTTGAAAGGACGGTTCACTATCTATTTAAGCAGATGCTTATTTTATAAATATTAATAGAACATTTTCAGATTGAAGATGTGATTTTGATATCCCTGTAATTAAATCCATTCTTTCTTACCAAAATTATTATAAAAAGACAAATCTTTCTCTTGTGTTTTAGAATACAGTTTCACGTACTTATAGTACAGTATATATTTATTATATTATTAGCTGCCATTCATCTATAAAAAGTTTATTCTTCATCATCCTAGACTATTGGGTTATTCTGAAATACAGTTCCAATTGGAAAACTAATTAAAGTTACCTTTAATTAGAAGTTTTAAGGATAAGAAGGTAGCAGTTTTGGGGGTCAGCAATTCATGATTGTTGGGTTTTTTTCTTCTTCTTTGGTTTTATGCCAATTTTTTTTGTATTTCTTTGTCTCTTACACTGAAAGTTTTAGTTCCTATCAACATTAACATGGATGCCTTGCCCCCACCAATATGCAAAAAGTAGTTTCAAAGTGATTAAATCACTATTGCTACTAACAATAAAACCCATAGGGTGAGGTTCAAAGTTACTTTGCAGTTCCTTTTATCGTTGGAATAAATCTCACTATAGAAAAATACAGTCTGGGTGTGATGGCTTACACCTGTAATCCTAGTACTTTGTTTTGGGAACCTGAGGTGGACAGATCACTTCACCCCAGGAGGTTGAGACCAGCCTAGGCAATGTGACAAAACCGTGTCTCTACAAAACAATACAGAAATTAGCCAGGCATGGTGGTGTTTACCTGTGGTCCCAGATATTCAGGAGGCTGAGGTGAGAGGATCACCAGAGCCTGAGGAGGTCAAAGGCTGCAGTGAGCCATGATTGCCCCACTATACTCCAGCCTGGGTGACAGAGTGAGGCCTCAAAAAGAAAAATACATACACAACCAACATACTCATTACGTGAGAGACTCCTAGAAACTGAAACTGGATTTATGTTTCCTCCCTTGGATATACACTAAAGCATCAGATGGCACAGAGACACAATTTCCACTGTTTACATTGTTATTTTTCTGTGTGTTTTTCCCCCATATATGTATTGCATATATATAATTGAATTTGGTTAACGTGCATATAATTTGACTCCACCGTTTTGTTTATAGACTTGGGGGAAAATGTTAACCTGTATGGCTTTTAGTACCTTTCCTCTATTGTAACAATCTGATGTTTGTTTTCTTTATCCATTGCAGAACCAAAGACAAACAGATGAGACATGCTCTTTATTTGATCAGGGCCAGGAAGCTGACCAATCTAGGCAGCAGACAGTTCTTTCCAAACGGCCACTATTTGATTTGACTGTGATTGATCAGCTGTTCAAGGAAATGTCCTGTTGTTTGTTTGACTTGAAAGCATTGTGTAGTGTTCTTAATCAGCGTGCTCAAGGCAAGGAGCCTAATCTTTCATTATTACTGGGAATAAGATGTAAGTGTCTGATGACTTGTTCTTACTTTGTGGCAATTGAAACCTACCTTCATGAATCAGGAACTTCTGACTGCTTTTTCTCTGCTTATTTTTGTAATTTCCTTTCCTACTTAGAATCAGTCTGTGGGTTTATATTTATATACCTGTATTATTTCATTGCTAGAAGTGAGTGGGGTTATAGCTGACATTAACTACCACTTGGCAGAATGCCTGGTGATGTTTCCTATGTTGATTCTGTAAATATGTGAATACAGTGGTAGTTAGGTATGACTTCCCATTTACTCTTCCAAGAATAATGATTCCTTCTATTTGCTCTCATTTGTTAGTTGCACAGATTAAGTGACCCAGCCATATGTCTACTGGTAAAATATTTGAGAGAAATATTTTGCTTTTCAGTGCAGTATATGTTCTATGGTAATTGCTTCATGTGAGTGCCAGTGATTTCACATGAGCCAGTTTTCACAGCTTACAGATGTGTTGCTTTTGTTATGCATACCTGCTGGCTTTATGCCTTTCAGTGTGACACCCATTCGCTCTTGGCCTCAATTCTGTCTTCCTCCACACATGATTGTGAGAGCTGCCACAGTAATAACCCTAGTGTCCCTTTGTGTGCTATTTTGCAGAAATGCTCATCTCTGCATGTGGTTACAAATTAGGATGTTAGTCTCTTTAATAAGGAAGAATGAACTTGGAAGGAAATAGGAATGGAGTAAGACCACATAATAAGGTTTATGAGCCAACATGTATATTTAGTAGCTGCCTAATACTATGGTTAATATATGACTAGAGGAGAGACCGGTTTTGTTTCTATTTTCATCATAAAGATTCCACCATTTTGCATCATAATAGTTATTTTGGCAAATCAAATAATGCTGTTGACCATTTGCATATATTATTAAATGAAACGTGTCTTGTTAAATGAAATGTATTTGTGCTCAACTATGTCTCTTTCACTTCATAGATATTTGTACACATACCCAAGTGTGGATATGGAAAAAAAACATAAGGTTTAAGTATATTCACTCACGGAGTAAACATTTATCAGATGCCTTCTATGGTACAGACACTAAGTAGGTGCTGGTAATGCAGATAACCTGAACACAGCCTTTGCCCACACATGAACCAAATTATTAGAGCATTGTGATAGGAGCTATAAGTGAGATGTGGACTAAGGACAGTGGGAGCTCAAGAGGTAAAAAACAACTAAATCTACATGGGAGGGGCTATGGAGACTCCACAGAGTAGCTAGTGTTCAGTGTTAATCTTAGAGGAGGAAGAAGAGAAGGTTGTCAGGTGAACATGGACTGCTTATCTCTTGTGGGCAAGCCGCAAAAGCTCACAAAGGGAACTCATTTTCTCCACAAGTATAGAGTTGGCCACCCTTTTAATTACTTTACAGTCTTCTACATTTTCATTATCATAAGGCAGCATTTTTTGTTAAGTTTTTCAGTAATAGAGTAGTAGAGTTATCCTAATGTGAATCTTACCACCCCCATCTCTCAGTGCTCCTTCTAGTCTTTAAAGTTTGACCCCAGAATCTTTTGTATTTGGCATTGTAAAAATTTTACCAGCTAGTTGATTTGTGAAAAACCAGTTGATTCGTGACTCCATTTGCTCACTCTATCCTTTTGAAAACTGTGTGCTACCTTGGTTCCCATGCCATCATTTTCTAGGTTCTGCTTCTGCCTTTATGACTGTTCAGTCTCTATCTTCTGTGGACTTCTCTGCCACTTAATTATTGGTATCACCAGAAGCCTTTTGTTACTGGTTTTGTGTCTGTTTCTTTTTATTCAGTACTTTATCTGAGTGATCTTATATACCCCTTTGTTTGTTACTGCCGTACCTTTCACCTACACACTTACCTCCTTTACCCAGACGCTTATCTCCTCTGGGCTCCAGATTATGTTCCCACTTATGTTAGAATTGGCTGTTTTGAATGCATCACATACTCTACACATTCAAAACCAGAACTCACTTTCCCTCTCTCCCCGAACCTGTTCCTCTTCTCAGTGAGTAACACCACCTTTTCACCTGTCATTTGAACCCAGATTTGATTCTCTAGTCTGCTTTTTCCTTCATCTGGGACCTATGCCCAATCCCTGCCCCTCACTCAAATTGATAATGATTGAGTGCTATTAGTTCTGTCATCTGCTTACTACATTTAACATTCCTGCCATTCTGTCTCCATTGCACTATTGCTTTACGTTTTCATAACCCATCACCTATACTGGTCTCTCTGACAACCACCTTTCTCACCTCCTCCCCGTAATCCATTTTACATTGTTGCCAGACAGAGCTGTCTAAACTGTGAATCTGGTTTCCTAATACTTAACACTTCTCTGTGGTCGACAATATTGTTACCCATTAAACATGCTGAATTTTTGTGCATCACTGGATGAATTTAATTCATTTTAATTAGCAAAATGTATAAAGAACCAAGTGAATAAGATCTGTTTAATATTGAAAGATGCATAATTTAAACCTGAGCCTCACTGATATTCAATGTGTAGCATTATATTTCCATGATGATTAAGGTGAAAAATTCTAAAATGTCTTTGTTCAAAAAAATGTGAGATACTTTCTCCATATTTTATTTACACAGCAATGAACTGTTCGGCCGAAGAGACTGAGAATGACCACAGTGCAGAAACACTCACTAAGAAACTGTCAGATGTGTGCCAGTTACGAAGAGACATTGATGAATTAAGGACTACAATATCAGACCGCTATGCTCAGGACATGGGAGACAACTGCGTTACTCAGTGATCAAGTATTAGTCCCACAGCAATAATGACCCATTGTTAAATGCTGCTGTGTTATGGAGCCATAATGGAAGGTTTCAAGTGACGTGACTTGCACATAAGGATTTTTTTCTGTGGATTTGTTTTATTGAAGCGGAAAAGGAATGTGAAGAGGTTTTGAAGGGGCTTATCTAATCGGGAAAAAAAAATCAAATTACCTTTGAAAAATGTGGTAAAATCTACAAGAAAAAAAGAGTCTATATTCTCAAACTACTGATTGTAGGACCAAGCTGTGAAGAGTACCCTTCACATGAAGGAGTAGGAATCCTTTTAATCCTATAGCTTTGTGTGTGCTTGTATGTGTGTTGTGTGTGTATGCACGTGCTTTATTCACAAATTTATAAGGGTTTCTAGGGTAAGAGCAGAGCTCCTGAGAAAGACACACGCTGTTTATTCTTATATATTTCATATAGAAGCTTGTGTTATACTTTGGGATTTTTAGTGGCTGCCTGAACAAGAGTTCCAACAGCAGGCAAGTGTTGTAATGGTATTGCAGGCAAAACCATTTGTATTTTGAACACTTATTGCACTGATAATGTTGTTTGGTTGAGCTGATCTTAATACTGTAGATAGGTCAGCTGTTTTTCCAGAGTGATTGTGGATTTCTTAAGAGGTGTGAAATTTTGATATGATGTTCTTTTTCCTTAGCATTATAATGTGTGTGTTACAAGAAAGGTTAACATAACTTGAACTAATTTTAACATGTTCCTTACTATTTACAATTTTTTAATGTTATATAAAATTATAACAATTGTTACAATTTTACAATGTTATATATAAATGTAAAAAAGCCATATATAATTAATAAAGGCATCAGATCATTATTATAAAAGAAAATTAAGTTACTCTGGAACAATAGCTTACTTATCCAAATCACAACATTTACACTTTAACAGTTTTGTATCTGTTTCAAAGTTGAAACTACTTTAAGAAAAAGCCAACACTATTTAAATCTGAATCAACAGTAGCATAAAAAAATTTTATTGAGATGGTATTTTAATTCCTTTTATTAGATAAAGTACATCAACAACAGAATTTTTCATAGGATATGGACTTGGCCAGGTTAGTTCTTCATCTGAAGTGTACAGGGTATTACTATGAAATGCAGTTGATTTTTCAGTAGACATATAGTCATTTAAACTTCCAAATGAGTGTTGTCCATGCTTCTGTTGGTATTTTGGAAGGATTATACATTTTATTGCCCTCAGAGCATTGATTACATTCTTTTGAATATACTTAGTCAAAGCCTTGTCCTTTGTTAAGTTAGTTTGATTTCTGGATGCAACCGAGTCTCATTTAGGTCAAAACTAAGTAAGAGATGGAGGTTAGAGGATGTGACTGCAGCAGGATACTATTGATTTGATAAAGAGCATAACATGTGCCTGTTTTCTTGCCAGGCTTATATACTAGTATAAAGGCTCTTCTAGGAAAGATTTTTCTTAAATATTTAACAGTGAAAATGTGAGACAAGGCCTTCAAGGAAACTACCTAGGGAGACACTCAGTTTGGAATTTTGGCATATACAGCTCTGAATAAATTATTTTATAGTTATACTTGAATAATCAGTTAAAATACGCTGTTAAGACATCAGATTTTCCTTCTGTTCAGTGCCTGAGTCCTTACTCCTCTTACTTCTTAGGATCCGGGCATTAAGAAATCTGTACATTGTAGTGTTCTACATCCCAGGGTCCTTAACCTAAGGAGGGACTTAGTCACTGGTAAGAACTTGGCTTTCTAATATATTCACTTGGTTTTTTAACATTAGTAGCTTGAAGATAATCAGGATATAGTAAATTTCTACCAAAAATTTAATACAAAGAATTCTGCCTTGGTCCTTTCCAGTAAAGTAGAAAATAACATCTAAAATACATCAGCCGCAAGTACAGCAAACATTTTTACATTCTCTTTGAGTAGAATCCCAACCACCCTCGCCATGATTTTGGAAATGAAGCCTTTCTAAAATAGTAGAATGAATTGGCAAACAATCACTAATTTGGATCAGTGAGGTCTTCCTTAAATATCTCCTAGATTTTTAGTGTATGTTTTGGGTTTTGTGGTTATTACTTTTGTTTTAAGCAAATGTTATAGTTGTTTGTTTTATGCTACTCTAGATACATTTTTATTTTCTGGCTTAGTTGGGGATAAAATTAATTTGTTTTTGTAAGCTTTCTAAAACTTACAGAATTTAATTTAATTCACATATCTTAAAAGTAAAATTCTAAAGTTAAAAAATTTCTGACCTAATAGGAAATTAACAAATTACTGCTGATGCGTTTCAGTTTCCAAAATCTGTACCCCTCCGCATAAAAAAATGGAGTTAAGATATGCTGGTTTAAGTAGTTAGTTGAATTATAGATTGGTCTTCTTAAAATCTGGAGTTTGTGAAGAGACCTAAATAATCAGTAGATAGACTTGGAGGGATTTTATGGGAAAATTGAAACTAATGGCATTCTAGTTTGTCAGTATGTAATTTTTGATTGTGATTTTTCAGAAAACTTTTCATTCCCAAGACACCCTCTTGTATTAGAACATCCTCTTCTGTATCACATTAAAAACAGATGTTACTGTTAGACCAAATAAGATGGACAAATAGCAACACTAGAGTGTCTTACCTAGTTTGAACTAGGATGTTCATGGAAGTTATCACAGCAATATATCCCTGAAGTGAAAATTAACCTAAATTTTAAAGTGAATCTACTTGAAAATTTCCTTAGATAATGAAACCTCTTTTTAGTTGTGCTTTTTGTGAATCAAACACTTGCCTTCTTAGAAAGTATTGTATCCAGTATTAGTATTAATTGTTCTTTCGAGTTTTAACATTGAGTTTATTCTGCCTCGGTCACATTACAGCAAGGATAAAGTAACAGTTGACTCAATGAAAGGCACAAATTCCCTGTACAGATAAAATTCACTGAATCAAAGGCACAATAGCTATCTTTTCATTTGATGCCAGAAAAATAAGATGATATAAGTTGAAATATTAATTTTCAGCGGCCTCTAATTAAAAAAAAACACACCCACAAGTATTGGCTAGGTAAGATATTCCTGAGGTTGTTTTAAAATAAATGTGACACCTTCTTATGATATATTTGAAATGGAATTCAATATTTAATGTTAACAGTATTATATTTTAGTGAAACTTATTTTGGTGGTAACAGTTTATTAAACCTAATTAGATTTCTTTCAATAGCTTGTTATGGAGACAATCTCAAGGTCTGGAAAGTGTTGCTAAAATGAATATCATACATTTCTGATATACTAAGGAGCTTATAAAGTAATTCTGTCATAGTGCAAGACTGATTTCTTACAGGATATTTTTAAAGGAGCTACTTAATCGGGAAAATGTTCTTTAAATATCAGTAATAGTTCGTTAAGTAACATAGTAGCTGGGAACGTGGACTATATTTATGCATAGCATAGTTCAGCTTTTGGATTATTGGCATTCTCTTACGTAGGAATTCTATCATTGTAGATACGTAATTATGGTAATAAGCAATTTTCATAACCATGCACACACAGACTATATCATTTGAAACTGCCAGTGGCTGTAACTCCCCAAGCCACAGGTAATTAATTTTGTTTCCATTTTTGACAATTCAGTGTTCACACAACAACAGAAACAATTTTCTATTTGGTATAAAGAGCAAAATTTCCAACTTTGCTTCAAAATGCTGTGGGTGGCATATTGTCATATGATTATATCATATATTTCATCATGTAGGGGAAAGATTCTGGATTTTTTTCTTATTTAAAAGTACTGCTGAATATAAGAATATAGTTTTAAATCAATACATCTAATAATACTATTGCAGCTGTATACCGAGAGAACCTTTTGTGCCTTTTTGCCTGCAGTAAGCATTTATTTCTATTTTACATGAGTTATAAGAATGTTGATGATTATTGCACCTTGTTATTCTGTAAATAGACTTTATTAAGGATTTTTTTTTAAGCAAGGAGACGTTTTTTATTACTAAGTGGATACCTTAGTAAACATGAGAGGAATTATCAGATATATGTCTTTGGAGCCCAGCCTTCCCTGTGTAGTGAGCCGGAACAACTTTAGAATGTATTCATTTATGTGTATGTATATGTACATATATGTATAAATAGTTAAAATACATTAAATATAAAACTTCACATTGGTGTGATGACAAGAAGTAGTAAGGTGCTAGGTGGTTACGTTAAAAGCACAGCACAGTGTCTAATCAGTCACTTTGACTGGTGATTTTGTAAACTAGGTTCAGTTTTTGAACCACTCAGAATACCTCATGTGTAAATACAGTGTTCATGACTTAATTGAAATACAGTTATTATATTAAAAAAAAAAAAAGAATGTGAAGCCACTGGTTGGCTTGACTTACGCCTTCTGATCTATCATTCTTGCCTCTTTTTTTGTAAAGGGGTTTTTTTGTTGTTGTTTTGTTTTTTAATAGGGTTTACAGCTAGAATTTTGAATGCCAAAGTTCTATTTATTAAATTAAGAAGAAAGTTTTCAATGTTACTGGCTAGTATTTTTCCACTGGACTATTGTTTGTTGATGTTGAAATTTGTATTTACAGAGAAATAAATATTTTATAAAAAGATTTATGTTTTCCAAGAACCTAATGTTAATATAAGAATGTATTTGTACTTTCAGACTCTCTATTCTGAATTCTCAATGATAAGAATATGCTGACTTGACTTTTAGGTAAAAGCTTTGTATAAATGCACAGGAGAATCTTTGACTAAATCATGGAGACTTCTGCCTTCTATCTTATTATTTCTTGCCAATTACAAAAAAGCTTTTTCTGAGGGCCTTCTTATAAAGGGTACTGAGATTTTCTGATGACAGGTACTGTAACATAGGAAATCATGTCTGTGTCCATTTCATTTAACAGCACTGTGTCTCCTTTCTGACTTTCCAAAATCCCTATTTAAACCAGGAGTCGTCTTTCTAGTTTTCCAACAGACAGAATCTGGCTTCGGTATTCTACATTGCTGAAAAGTTCAGTGGGTGAGTCAAATCTTTATCTTATACCTTCTAATCAAAGGTTAAAAACATACTGAAACATATACAAATAAAGCCTTGTTAAAAGGTTGCTATACAGGGGCCTCGACAGCTCAGCTTTGGTGGTTTGCCAGTCTAGTCCCAGAAGTGCCCTGCGGATGGCATCC